GAGAGGACCAGCTGGGTTTCCCTTTGCGAGAGACCTATAAGGACCGCGCGGGGGAGAAGATCAGCCGGGTGGAGCTGTGCAACGCGCGCCGGCGCCCCGAAGCAGCCCGCGGGCTGGACTCCTCCGCCTCGCCGCGCCCCTGCCCGCGGCAACGCGCTCCGCGCCGCCGGGCCCACCCTGCGCAGGGCAGACCCGGCGATCCTAACCCGCAGCCCTCCGCGCGGGGCGCTCAGGGCCAAGCCCTGGAGGAAACTCTTGACTCTGAGCTCGTCCCTCTCTGGCCCATCCCCTTAGCCCATTAACCCCGACCCTCACCCCCAGCCTCTCCTCTTGGCAATGAGGGGAAAGAAGACCAGAGACATGATTAAAAGCAAAACACACATGCACATATGCCTTAAAAAGGGAATACTCTCCAGATGAAGGAAGGATTGCAAGAGGGTACACACACACACACACACACACACACACACACGCACGCACAAATCCTCTCTCTTTTTGTTTTCTTGGAATTCAATAATCGCCCCCACAACTACACACAGGCACACACACACACACGCACAGAAAGAGAGAGAGAGAGAGAGAGAGAGAGAGAGAGAGAGAGAGAGAGAGAGAGAGAAAGAGAGAGATTGTCCATTAAAAGATGGAAAAGGTAGACTTTCAGAGGAGATAGCCGCCAAATTTTAAAAGTAGCTTTCCTGATTTGACGTTTGTTGTTTTGACATTAATAACATTAATATTATTGATGATGTTTCAGGGAGAAAAGGAAAAAGAAATAACCTGAGAGTTAACTGATCATTTCCCTATTCTTCCACGGCAGAAGCAGACCCCTTTCTTCACCTGAGCCTGAAACAGACTTATTGTTCTCAGGTGTTTCCTTCATCATAGGCATTTACCCATCTGAAATCACAGGAAATGGTTTTTCCATCAGTGAGCTTGTACATGCAGCCCTCTCCAGGAAAGGGCTTGATCTTTTCTGATTTGAACCTGAAAGTTTCCCTGCCTTCATTTCCCTTCAGTCTCCTTAAACCCCCCTCTCCTCCTCCCCATACACACACCTCAAATAATTTTACTTATTTATTTTTTTTTTTTTTACAGTCAGAATGTTTGCTCTCTGGGGTGTTTTTCAGTAAACAGTAACGCTACATAAACACCTTTTTCACTTGCAAGTTACAGAGAATTTAAATTTTACCCTTGTGTGCATGTATGTTTCTTAAGGCACACGGATAAACTCCACTAGGATGCAATCAGATACTGCTACAAATTGGCGATAGAGTTGCTGTGTGAAAGTGGGGCTATAAGTAAAGTAACTTTAAAATCTTAGAAAGCCTTCCACTTTGAACAGATTTTTGCCCAAAGAAGTTTGAAATGGAGAGATCTCTTTGGAGAGGTAGATAATTTCCTGTTAATGTTTAGTAGCACTGGTTTCTAAAACACTACTACGTATACTGACTGCAGATTCCTAAGGTGCTGATATGCTTTTTTCTCTTAATAAAGACCATGTCTAGGTTTTATTCTCTGCAGCAAGCCTCTGGACTTTCGTTGTAACCTTAGCTAGTTGCTGAAGGCAACAAGCTTCCCTGAGCTGGGCCTAGTTTTGTTGTTTTGAGCACTATGCTTTTATCCTATCAGGTGTTTGGATGGGTTTTTAATTCCATCTGCATCAGGCCTAGAATTTTCCAAAATTTCCCCTGATAGCACAAGGTTTTAGGCCCAGAAAGATGTATGTTAGCAGCCCCTGTAGTTTCAAGTACTTGTGCTGGAAACCTTACTGTTGGTATTTGGTAGGTTTGACATGTAAGGCCTAAGACAAGGTTTTGGAGCAGATCCTGGCAATACAGAACTTCAAAGGCTTGTCAGCCCAAAGGGACTCTTGCCTCACCTGTCCAGGAAGCTGGACATTGCAAGCATTTCCTGTTTTTAGCTCATTTGATTTGCCATTCTTGCCTTCTCTCCAGAAGTCCTGTTTGCGAAATATTACATAAGTGATGTCTGCCTGTGACCACTGGTGTAGCAGTACATAAAGATGCTATCTGAATAGCAATGCATATGCACACACACACACACACACATATATATATATATATATATTCCATATTCAGTAGGGGGTATTTAAAAGTATGTCTATTCCAAGTTTTAGTTAATTATCTTTTAATGAAAGTGTCACTCATATTCACATCTGTAATACTGGAAAGAGATAATTAGATTTTCAAATGAGAATCAGCCACCTTAAATTTTGCACCAGAAAATACCAAGTATATTTCATTCTAATGAGATCTGTAGTGGGGTTTTAAAATTCATCATAATGTGGTTCAAGAAAGATAACTCAACAGACTCTAAAGATGAAAGGTTTTTTTTTTTTTCCCAAAGTCTTCTTAAAGCTATTACATTGAACTTATGCAATTCTGATAAAATGTTCAAGATTATTACATAGAGGCTAGTATTGTACCCCTAGTACCATCCTTGCAATCATCGCTTGCTCTCTCATTTGGAAGTTTACTTTGACTAAACTAACCATTTCCATCTCTCTTGCCCTGGCTTCTCTCTCCTGTCTAAGAAAAAGGTACAAGTTTCAATAGAATGCCTGAGGATGCAGAGAGTAATTCCTCCTTTGAAATAGGCTGGGCTGAGCAGGGTTTGCACGGAGCCAGGCACCCTCTATTTACATACATCTGCATATTTGCTCAGGCCCCCACAGCTTGCCATTAAAGTGCGTTCAACTTCCTAGTACAGTCAACTGGGCAGAGGAAAGCTCTTCATTATCCTAACTCATATTTCTGCTTAAAGCTTCCCAATAAACAAATCTCTGGTCCGATCGTAATTACTTTACCTCATTAAAATAAATTTTTAAAAAATCTCGAATGGTGAAAGGCCATTGCTTTGATAGTATTTCTGTTTTATATTTTTCCACTCTTTGGGCGTGTGTGTGTGTGTGTGTGTGTGTGTGTGTGTGTGTGTGTGTGTGTTTAATGAAGTTTGGGAGTTGAGCGCAGGGGAGCGTGGGGTGCGAGCCCCGGAGGTCCCCATCCCCTGTCCTCTCCGCGGTCGCCTAGTCCCGGGCTCCAGCCTTAGCGCTAGCTCCGAGCCTTGGAAGTCGCGAGGCTCCCGGGCTGCTCTCAGTCCCGGCTGCGCGTCATTTGCAGTCTGGGGAATGTTGATCACCTCACTAATTACACCTCTCCCCCCCTCCCTCTCCCTCTCCCTCACTCTCCTCTCTCATTCCCAGAGTGCATATCGGGAATAGACACACAAAGACATGCGCACTCAACTTAATCAGCCATTTTTTTAAACAGGGCTAAAACGATAATAATTAGCAGAATAAAGACATATCGGATTTTCATTTCCTTTCCTCCTTTTCCCAACCCCTTCACAACCAAACAGCGAGACCGCGGTCGGCACATGCTTTAACTCCGCCTGGACCCCCGAGGACCGCTCCATGCCCCCCACTTTCTGCTCCAGCGTTTTTATTTTCACCCAATAAAGTTCGAGGATTATTTTTTTTATTTTTTTTATTTTTTAATGAACCCTCTCGTTTTACTTGGATGTGATCAGCTGTAAGTAAAATAAAAGCAAAACAAAAAAAGGCGAAGATCGAGTAGGAACTGCAGGGGAAATGGAAAGTAAGTTTTTTCTTTAACTTTTATTGAGTAGTTTGTGTTAAATTTAGGTCGAGTATCGATTATCTTTCCAGCCTGATCTTGCACAATCTTTGATATTTCGCTCCCTCTCTCTCCCTCTCCCTCTCCGCCTCTCTCCCTCTCTGCCCCTCGCTTGCTCGCTCTCGCACACATCCCTTCATCCCGACCATCTCTTCCGCTCTGCCCCCCTTTTCTATCTCTTTCCCCCTTTTTTGGCTCAAGGATTTGCTCTACTGAGGGAGGGCGAGGGCACCGAAGGACCTCATTTTCCACTTTCTTTGCGGGGCTACGTTTTTCGGGATTGAACTTTTGGATCATGTGGCGGATCATCCACATTTAGCCCAGCAGTTTTCTCTCCTTCTTTTCCTGTCTTTTCGGGTTCTGGCTTCACCGCGAGTCTGGGGCGCTCTCGTGGCCGGCCGGGGAAGCTGTCAGCTCTGCAGCGGCGCAGGCACTGCCAGGGGTCCCCGCTTGCCCTAGGTCCCAGCACCCCATCGGGATGAGTCTTCCTCTGCACCCACCCTCCAAAAGTTTGGACGTTGGTCGGTGGGGCTCGGAGCCCCCTCGCCCTCTCGCCCCGATTTACCCTCCCCCGCACCTTTGGCTGCCTCCTTTTTCTTCCTCCCTTTACCCCCACCCCTTTTCCCTTCTCAAGTTCCCCGAAGGGCGCTTGGCGCGCGGGGCTGGCGGAGGCCCGCGCGTCCGTGCGCCCCGAGCAGAGGTTCCGGGAGGCCGGGCGCGCGGGGCTGAGGCGCTGGAAGATGCGGCCCGCCGAGCAGGGGCTGCGGGCGCCGCGGACGGCAGCTCCAGCTCTGTGCTGCGCGGGCCCGGGCGAGCGAAAGGCAGGTCCGTTAGGAGGCGGGAGCGCCCGGCGGGAGCCTGGGGACCGGGAGGCGCCGCGGCTCGCTAGGGGCGCGTTCGCCGGCGGCTGTGCGTTAGACAGACGCCCGCGGCTGGCCGTGGAGAACCTTGCTTTTTGGCAAAGGGCAAGTGGAGTGTGTGTGTGTGTGTGTGTGTGTGTGCAGGGGCCGTGGCCGGCTGTAAGAACTGAATCATTCTCGTCCCCCCCCCACCCCCAAAGGCTTCCATGTCTACAAATGAACTTCACCTCTTTCGCTTCGGCCGGCATCAAACGTTCCTTCCGGCCTGAGCAGCTAAGGGGAAAGGGCTGGAATGCGCCGGGTCTCGCCTTTTTTCTACTTCTACCCCCCCCCCATTCCTCCATTCTTTCCGATTTCTAGCTGAGAAAAATAAAATATCTTATGGAATTGTATAAAGTTTCTCTGCCGATGACCAAGTTACCGAAGGTTCCATCCTGCCCCCTTCCCCAGAAGTCGGTGCACTGGTTGGTATTTCTTTTGTTACCTGCAGTCCGGGCGGGGGGCTCCTTTTGGCTGCTCGGGCCGGGGTCCGGCCGAGAGAAGAGGCTCTGGCAGGCGCTTTCGGCCGCGACTTCCCACTTCCGCACGGTTCTGGTGAGGTTTTAGCTACCGTTCGGTGAGACACCCTCCTTGTAGGTACCAAAGGTTCAGATCGCAAACACGGACCCCCCACCCCACCCCGACCACTACATTCACGGACACACACTCAACACACTTACAGACACACACGTTCTCCCTGCCCCCCCACCTCCGGCCCCCACCTTTCCTTACCCCTCCCCCCTTCCAAAAAAAGCATACACACAACAACACCCCCCCCCAACAAACCAAACAAAAACCTAAAGACAAGTTCACTGGCTGAAGATGGTGGATTGACACTGACTCAGAGAGAAGCAGGTTCACCAGGAAATCTGGCCATCCCGATTTCTGACAGTTGCATTTCCTCTCCTTGAGCCCCCCCCCCTTTATTAACTCTGTTCCATGTTTAATCAAGGATCATGTAGATGGCAAAAGGAGAGACAGAGAGGAGAGAAGAAGAGAGAGAGTGGGAGAGGAGAGAGAGACAAGAGACAGGAGGGTTTTTTTTTTTTTTTTTTATTGTGTTCTCCTGGATTTTCAGTGGCTTGATCCCTATAAACGTGGAATGGTTAAAGCTCATATGTAGAATTATATTTTTAGTTGGGTGGATGGATGGAAGAGTGAAGGAGAGGCTGCGGCTGCCGCTGCCTTTTCGGGTGTTGCTTAGATTAAGGCTGAGACTTGGCTGCGATTGGGACGCGACAGTGACACGGGCATCGATCGCTTCCATTGAGAGCAATGCAAAAACACAGCCCGGGTAGGTAACACTCTCGGTGCCATCAACACTTGTTTTACTTTCTATTTGCTGGCAAAAGTGACAGAGCAAGCTTAGACTTTCTTTCTTTCTTTCTTTCTTTCTTCTTTTTTCTTTCTTTCTTTTTTTTCTCTCTTTCTTCCTTCCTTTACTAATTGAAGACTAAAAGCAATTGTTTATAGACATTGTTGGAAAGCATGGGGCTTAAATAAAACAGAAAAGGTATTTTGGATTATTTTGCTACCTCTATGATTGTGATAGTTTTTCTTCACTGAAGAGCATATTAAAGAGAATGAAGGTTTTCTTATCTCCTTCCTCATCCTTGAAAAAACAATTCTTAAGGGAATATTTGATAGTTTTCAAGGTTTTCGGTTTCAATCAGCAGGAAGGCACACAAAAATAAAAGATGGCTAGCCAGCTGTTTTAACCTCTTGCACCTGGTATCAGTGTGGGGATCATAAGTTTTATACAGTTATTTTTAAATGGTGTTAATATTTATGACATAAACTGTTGAAGAATATCACTGTGTGTTTATTTAACAGCTGGCTGCTTTTGTATTTAAAAAAGTAAACCTATATTCAAGTGTTTTCATTTTTTATAGCAATGAAGATAGGGTCAATGAAATATGGGGCAAATACCATAAATCTGAAAACTGAAATGTACCCAAGAAACAAAGAAAGGTCAGGTAAACCAGCTGTGTAAGTCAAAGCAATAGCACCAGCTGTGGGGTGAGTGGGCTCTGGGTCTGTTAAGTGAAAGTTGCCACGTGAAGTTTAAAATGAAGAAACCCTGTTCAGCTCTATTGTAATCTTTTGCAGTTTTTAGCAGATGAGGCCAGATCTGTTCATTAATTTTGAGCTAGTTGGATTATTTTCAAAGATCTGCACTAAAAAAGGAAAACATAAGGAGGCAAAGAAAATTGCTGTTTAATATTGCAGAATTTACTGCTTCCATTCTGACCATGAGCCTAAATTTACACAATGAAATTTGATTATCTCTAATAACAATATTAGATCCTGCATTGGATGGATGAGAATTGAGGTGGTTTTGTTGATTGCAAGGGTTTAATGTTGCATTTCAGAATCTGATGTGGTTTGGCCTCCCTTCCATTAACTGGAAAACCCCTGAGGTTTTACAATTATTTCTTAAAGATAATACATTTAAGATTGCATTGGTAGGCTGAAGAAAAGTCATAAAGGCAAGAAGGGAAGCCCTTAATAACTCTTGAGATTCAGACATGTTCAGCAGTTAGATTGGCTCTGACTTCACCAAGGGTCGACAATGTGTCATTTCCACGAAGCCAAATTGCCCTCTGCCTATATGATATTAATGTGCAAATCAATATTTCAGGGATTAAATTTCCCTTCTTCATTTTTTATGGTTTCTACCTCAATAAGTCTCAAGTCTATTAGAAGAGGCTGGATGATTTAAAATCTTTCACTGCAGAATGGCTTGTCGTAGTAGTCTTGTTTCACAGACCATTTTAGGATTTTCGTTAGAAAGACTAAAGGAATCCTAAAGAAGTTGTGAGGTAGTATAGAGCCAGACTCAATAGTGTAAAGCCCTTGTTCAATTATAGCTAAAATGTATTGAAAATATAATATATGTGTTTATATATATTGCTGCTTTTAAAATATTATGTTAATCACCTATTGATTTATTTCAAAATCAATTGAAGCTCCTTTCTTATTAGTGATTTGTTCAGCATCCTCAAGGACTGTGTTAATTTTCTTAAAGAATGTGCATGAATTAGTTTGGTGTAAAAATATTGGGGGAGACAGATTTTCATTTAGCAACATTTTTCTAACAAGTAATTTCAGAAACCATTGTTTGTGATAGTAATATGCAAGTGGTGTTATTTGTATACACTGTTGTCATGGCTATCATGGCATTTTGTGGCTGAGTGACTTAGCTGATGTCTGTTAAATGAGGCCTTCTTCAATTCTCTTTTAGATTTTATTTCTAGCACTTAGTAGGGTCATTTTGTTTTACCCCTTTGGAAAAACACAGCTATGAAAAACATTATGTGATTTGCTTGGAAATGACACAAAGCAGAAATGGGGGGATCAAAATAAAAGATTGTGACTTTATCATATAATCTTGGGAAGGCCTACTGTCCATCATTTGGTCATGTTTTATAGTCTTAAACCATCTGGACCAAGTTCCGCACAGCTGCACGAATTTCATATGTGATAGAACATTTTTTCCATTCAGTGTGAAATGTTCCTTCCTAAAAAACGTACACCAGACTCGCTTAATTTAGTCTGTTAAAAGAAATGCACATGAAAAAGGACAAAAGGCTCTTTAATCTCTGCAAGCTGTTTGTTTTTCTTCAAGATTCCTGTCTATTTGGGTTTGAAAAGTCATGTTTATTGAGGAGATGATTTTAAGGTGTGACATTAAAATAATATATGATTTTTGGACTAGTGGCCATGCTCCTGCTTAATTTGCAGAACTACTTTTTATGCCTGTCAAAACACAGAGTTAATCTATCCTTATTTACAGTTAATCTCAATAAAATTAATCTTAACTATGCTTTATTCAGTGGCTTAAAATATCTAATTATATTCAATTAACTGTTGTCATAGTAATTAACATTGCTTAATTGCCTCTGCATATATTTATGTAAAGCTCATTAAGTGCTGCTGACTCCTTTCCCCTTTTCTACTTGCTATTTTTGCTGTTGTCAAACCATTTTCATCTCCCAAGGTTTGACAATGTCAATGAGAACAAATTCTTTCTAGCATTTTCTTGGAATGAATGCAATTGCTTCCCTTTGAGAAGATACTTGTTATGAACCTTTAAAGACTAATCCTTTTCCCTCTTCATTTTCCCTATCCCTGGTCTCTAGCACACTTACAAAACATTTTCTGTCATTGTTGTTAGAAATATGAGAAGCCAGGGTAAGCTTTGTGTTTATAAGCAAGGAGACTCTCTGTGTCTGCCTAAGGGCTGTATCTAGAGGCAGAGAGGTAGAGAGATTTTTTTTTAACCCTCAGAACATTTTAAGGGTTAAAGACTTGGCGAAGGTTCAAACTGAGAAGCGCCCAGGGAAAGTGCATGTGAATATGTACAAGTTTCATGTAATTAGTGCTTAATTATATTAACATATGCAAATTGTCAACTTAGGAGCTTGTTGAGCTGGCAAAGATCAGCTAGGCACAATTGCTGTATTGTTCTGAAACAATAATGGATTTCAAGTTGGATTGTGGAAACACAAAACTAGCTATCTAATTTAACTCATACCATGGTGAAATTTCATTAGTCTCCATGGAGACTGGTTTAATTGTGCTGACTAATGTTCTGGGCTGCAGAATGTCCTAAAAAGAAAGCGTTGTTTGCCTAATCCACCTTACAATGACACTTGTTTGTACATGTTTCCCTTGTGTGGGAATTTGCATATGCAAATAAATAGTTTCTCTGCCCCATTTGTCATGGCTGTTCATTACCCATGAAGAGGACATTGTTACTAGGCTGTTACTGAGTCTCCCAAGACAGGAGAGTGTCAACCAGTCCAGCTACATTCTTTCATAATTTGTTTCTGATTAATAGACCAGAGTGAGTCCCATTCTCTTTGGGCATCTGTACAGAGAAGGTCAGTTCTGTCACAGAAAAGAGTTTCTATAGTAATTGAAGGTCTTTTTCCTTCTCTTCCCTCTCTTCCTCCTCCTCCTTCACTATTTCTCCTTCTTCTTCTTCTTCTTCTTCTTCTTCTTCTTCTTCTTCTTCTTCTTCTTCTTCTTCTTCTTCCTCTTCCTC